AACCAGAGTCAAGTATCCACTCAGAAGCCTTGAGCTTTCCTGATGCCATCAGAACTTCGCCATCGCTGTAGCCATCACCAAAATTAGCTGAATCTTGATGAACTTGTGATGTACTAGCTTGATTCTCCTTGGTTTTCTTGATCCATGAGTAGCAATCTTTCTTGAGATGACCCATCTTGTTACAGTAGAAGCACTTCTTGTCGGCGTTGGAGTTGGTACTCCGATTGTTGATCTTTGCAGATGGTTTGCCATGGTTCTTGGACTTGAAGTTGTTTCCATCTGAGTTCTTGCGATGCTGTTTGACACGAGCCATGTGATTTTCACCATCACCAGAGGTCTTCTTGTCTGCTCTGATTTCCAAGTCTTTGGATTTGAGTGCAAAAATCACTTCATCTAGAGTGATTGATGACCTCCCGTACTTGATAGCCGATTTTACCTCCCTGTATGCTTCTGGAAGAGAGTTGAGAATAATAATTGCCTTATTCTCGTCGTTGAGCTCTTCCTTGTCGCCAGAGTTTGCGAGTTCAATGGTCATCTTCAGGAACTCGTCTAAGTTTGCTTCCAATGACTTCGCCTGGTCCATCCTGAACCCAAAGAGCCTCTCCTTCAAGTAGATCTTGTTGGAGAGAGAGCGAGATTGGAACATCTCCTCAAGCTTCTTCCACACCTTCGCTGGTGTGTCTTCTTTGTTAATAAGACTAATGATTGAATCAGAAAGGTGAAAAATAATTGTACCCATAGCCGTTTCAGACATTTCTTCTCTTTGGTCTTGGAGAATATCTTCAGGCCATAGCACGGGATCGGAGATGACCCTCAGCAACCTCTGTTGGGCAAGGAGAGCTAAGATCTTTCGGCGCCAGATGCAAAAATCTCCAGTCCCACCATATTTCTCTATGTCGATTCTCATTGCCGTGGAATGATTCCAAGAACTGAAACTTACTATGCTTCGTTGAGAAAAATTCGTGTTGGTGCTTTGCTGTGGAAGATCGTCGCTCCTCTCTGGCTTCCCGGTACGCCCAGCGAGGCGACTCGTTGCTTCCAAGTCCGCCAGGTTGATTTGAGTGTAGGAGACAAATGCGACGAAGCTGTTAATTCAAGATCGATGTTCCAAAGCTCTGATACCACTGTAGGGATTTCAATCCCCATAACCTACAGAAAATCACAGTCTACACACCATAGATACACAAGCATTTGTTGACGAGGTTCAGCTTGAAAGCCTACTTCCCGCGAACTCCTCAATGAAGGCAGTTCGAGTATATATATCCAAGATCAGTTTCTTCAGACTTGACCTTCCTATCTGCCATTACAAGGGTTCAGTCTACTGAGAACTACACACGAGAAATCACTACTGTCTCCCGAGCAAGACTAACACTTTCTCACAGTTGATTCCCTCACGTAGGTGTCTCCCCGTTCTCACTCTCGACTATTCTTGAAAACCTTATCTCTGTAATGCTCCACGCCCTAGTTCGCTGACTGGCCTTATATCATCCCGACTTCAAACGGTACCTTAAACGGTAAAGATCAGAATAAATCAAAACCGTAAACTCCGACACAGCCCATAGGATATAGACCCATCTGCGAGCTAATACTAAACGACAAATAATCTAAAAAGAAAAAGACAAACAACTGAAGCTGATATCTCACAAAATGCCTCCCTTGGTGAACAACAGTATGGAAGAGCGCAATCAAGAGCATAGCTTCCGCATTCAATGCATCCAGCTCACTCAATTTCATGCTCGCAAGCTCTTCCTCTCCCTGTACCTTGAACCTCCAAGTAATTTGTCAACATTTGCGCGCCATACTCTGTCATGTTTGATCAATGTCTAGGACCAAGTTTCATTGCATGCACCGTCTATTGATAGTATAACATGCGTGGCGTATACCGTTAGTGAAATCTCATTTGGTAAAACAAAACTTAAAGTATCACAATAAGTGATTTAGTTATGATGAGATCTCATCAAGTAAATATCTCCAAGATCAGTTAACAAATCTTTGGATCTCCAAAGTTGGCTTGTTATGACGCGGTTTTACAAAGAATCCAAGATCCAAGAAACAAGCTCTTTTGAGGCGGAAGTAAAAGTCTTGACATAAAAGTTGCAAGAGTATCCCAAATTATTTTGAGATTGGTTAGCAGTATGATATTCTAAACCTATTCTTGATTCAAAATCTTTGATTTTTTTTGCTTAAATGTTCTATTTCTTTTTCGCCGCTACAACAATGTCACATTGTGAAGAAATAGCTAAAATAGAGTTGATCACTCGAGTAAAAAAATTAGCAAATATTAAATGTGAGAATTTGGATAGATCATCCAATGGTCTATCAAAATTTTCAAGTGAAGAAGAGATTATAGTAGATCAATCTTTAATGAAGTGTTTGAAAATGATGCTATCTATGATTCTTTTCAATCTTGTCTCTTGTGTATTTTATGAAAGATTTCTAAGAACAATGAAATAATTTTGTTTTGCGTCTTCATCAATTTAGAGAAATTTTTTGACATTGTACCTTGTCAACTCTTATAAAAATGGGAGCAAGCCATTGAAGTACTACTAGATCTCCTAGTAGCCAAGACCACATTATACCACTCTATTCGAGACAAAATTAAAACTTCTTCATTCCAAGTTGTACTCTCTCTCTCTTACTTCATTTGGAATTTTCATATATGATATCTGAGAGTGGTTGAAATAATGTGATAGTGAAGATGTCAAGCTTGGAATTTTGTTATCAAAGCTCTATTGTTTGAAGATGATATCTTAGTTCTAGCATGTGATGACATTAGTTTACAAAAACATCTAGATAGTTTGACAAGGTTTTGTATGCAAATGGAGGTAAATATGGAGAAGTCTAAAATCATGATAGTGGACATTAGATCCAAGGTTTTTTTCCTTTTATAAAGATTTATAATAAGAAGTGAAGAGTTATAAATATCTAGGCATTGATTTCTCTAATGATTAAAGTTGGACACATTATTTGCAAAATAGAATAGAAGCTGGTTACATAGTTCTATATTCATTGTTAAATCGTTGTAGATATCTCACATTGTGTTTTGGAATCTTAATAAATTCTTATCCAAGAACTTAGTGTAGTAGATAGTTTGAAACGTGTGAAGACGATGCAAAAAATCTTCCTACAAGAAGAATTTGATGTAAGAAACCAAACTCTATATGTTATTTTTCTTGCAAAAGCAAGTTGTCTATTTTTAGAGGCTGAAGCTTTCTACATGATCATCATTTACTTCATCAGTGTGAGATCTCTTGATACTTCTTGACTTACTTTTAAAGCTTTGCGTGCTGTATGTTCAGTGTGAGATCTCTTGATACTTCTTGACTTACTTTTAAAGCTTTGCGTGCTGTATGTTCCAAGGGATGATTATCGGATCTAGTGACCTTGTCTTTGAAACAGAATGTGACAGAACGCAATTGGTACTTGCAAAGTATGGCACTCCGCGAACATCTACAAGAAAGAGTTCTCAACATAATTTGAAGCAGGCCAAACATCAAAATGCAATTTTATCAACTTCATGTGAATACTATGTTTGTTCGCTGTGGAAAAAATACCTACTTGCATGGATCTTTACGTTATTACTTCATATTATTGCTTAGCTCATCTCATCTTATCTCATATGCTTGGAATTGTAAAATTAAGTTTGTTTAATATTGATATGAGTGAATGTTGAATGAATGTTTAATATTAATATTTGTAGGTTATGTGACAATGGATATATTGAGCATGTATTTATTACTTATCCTAGGTTTGAGAAGAATAGACTTACTCTTAATATAGATATGGAGAATTTGTATTATTTATTTTAGCCTGTAACTTTTGATTTAGATGATTATATTAGGCATTATATTAACTAGTCTGATTGGCACTAGCTAAGAATTGAGTATGTTATTTAATATATTTTTGCTTGTAACTTTGGATTTACGTTTGACCATTTGGGTCCCACTAACTTGATAATTATCATTTATTAAAAGGAATTTAGATATTTGTAGAATCAAAAAATTTTTTCAAAAATCTTCAATAATTTCAAATAATCACTTGAAAATGCAAATAATGATACATGATTTTTGTAAGAAAACATTTCACTCTATGAGAACTCGTATGGATGTCAATAGTCACATTCTACTAGTTCCTGCTCTAGGCAGGAACTAGTAGAATATCTTTACGTTCTCTTTGCTAATCAAGGAATTATTGAACCAGTAAAATATCTTCTTTGAATTTCGAACCAATTCTTTTTCTCACAATCATAAACAATTTTTAGATGTAATAAAGTTTAAGAATTGAACATTTACGTGTAGAAGTAGATAGTTGGTATGAGGCATGTATGTCATACTTTGTGAAGAGCAAATGTATGTCTTGCCATTAAAATAGGTTTCAAGCTCTTTTTAGAAAGCTAATTTTCACTTGATGCATGTGTTCGTATGCATAGAAAGGATGATCAATCCCATTTATTGATTCTAAACACTCCTGCGGGTTGAAATTTGGAAATCAGTTCGAAATTATGATTATTACTTTCACCTGCTTAGCTTCCACTCCTTGTAAGTGTTGCATTTTTTAGATGTAATAGAGTTTAAGAATTGAACATTTACGTGTAGAAGTAGATAGTTGGTATGAGGCATGTATGTCATACTTTGTGAAGAGCAAATGTATGTCTTGCCATTAAAATAGGTTTCAAGCTCTGTTTAGAAAGCTAATTTTCACTTGATGCATATGTTCGTATGCATATAAAGGATGATCAATCCCATTTATTGATTCTAAACACTCCTGCGGGTTGAAATTTGAAAATCAGTACGAAATTATAATTATTACTTTCACCTGCTTAGCTTCCACTCCTTGTAAGTGTTGCAATTATGGTAGAACTTTCTAATAACTGGATTAGATCTGAAACATATCCTCACTATACGATAGATTTGTAAGAAATAATGAATCTACTTACAAATCGAAGTGACCCGACATCATGATATGCTTTGTAGTGGATACTTGTAAAAGTGGCACATCAGCAACGTTGTAATGCTTCAATCTTGGTTATTATCATATTCTTTGAAACCTGCATATTTGTCTAGGTCGGGGTACTTGAAAACTCTCATGCTCCAGCTCCTAGCTAGCTTTGTACATCTTATTCCGTAGTTGGGAAAATCTTCAAACTACGGATGTAGATCACATTTCGAGTCACCTGCTGCAAACTACATAAGTGCCTCCTAGAGTATCCAAGATATAAAGCCTAATGTAGTTTACTAATATCTCAGATCGTGAATTATTAGAAACAAATATAATGTACATGCCTGTCTCAATCTGGATACTTACAGGAGAGAACTATCTGAAAATTTGCCAAACTCCGGTTACCTTCCTCTCTCAAGGCATCGTCAAAATAGTCGCTATAATTGGATGTCCCCGACCTCCAGAGGCTTCGTTAACACTCTCTTGGGTTGAGCGTTCATATCGGCTCCTCGTTGTCCACTGTACCCAATAGAATCCCCCGGGACCCTCCCGGAACCTGTGGTGATGCTGTGATGGTCTTCGGATGGAAAGTATGTCCCATCGGACAGATTGCCCAATTTTGTCATAACGTCGTTTCAAAATGACCTCCGGGTTCGGAGCGGTGTTCCTGGTTATGGTCCATCTTTCCACCCTCCCTTTCCTCTTAATATGCCTTCCCAGAAATTTTGTGTCTAATTGGGCCATTTGTTTTACCCCACGCTTTGGCACTAGACGATTCATTGTGTCCTTGTAAGTCCCTGCGGTGGACTTTGTACAAATAAAGTTCTACCAACAAACCTTGGTTCAATCGCAGAAGAAAACACTTATACCTCCATCATCAGCGTCTCCTTTGCCAAGTTGGTTCCTCGTTACTGTGACTCTTCCTTGGGTATGGACATATCCACAGACCCCACTCTTCTCAGCGGTATCATCTCATCAAAATCGGCCACTCGTGGCGAGGCATGTAGTTGATGGAGCAACGACCAACCCTCGCGCAACTCGTTCTCTCAAGACACTTCGCAGTTCTTACGCCGATAGACATACGGATGCATTCAACTGGTCAGTCCGTTCGTCCGATCTACCTCGAGGTTGAACACTCTTCGCGATTTCATACACTCCACTGTGAAACCAATATCAGTGCGGAAAGTCCTTCTCTACCTACAAACCGGAGTCGATTCTTCTTGCATGTCCACATGATGAACATTTCCTGCAGAAACAGTGATTAGCGGCACATCGGCCGAAGTGGATGTGTATAGCGTGACAGGTTTCATCGACATGTCTCGGTGCTTCAGCTTCGAGATGGAGGAGCTCAGAAAAGTATCACATGTACGTAACAAAACGCTGTCACCCTTGGAAACAAAATTCACAAACAATCACAAGCAAGATTACAAAGAGATGTGGTAGAACACCAGGAAAGGCTTGTTGACTTACTCATAACAAGCCTCTCCTACGCTTGTAATCGTTCACTGTCAAAGTCAAAGTGTGGCGTCTACCATCACTGCTGTCGATCTGCGCGCCGCAACTAGCTTCAAGCTTCTGCTTACGGGACATGTACGCAGCATGGGCTCCCTGACTTCCCCCTAACTGCTGGAGAGGAGCGAGAGAAATATGGATGTCGAAGTCGTGGATTTCAAACAACTTCGTTTTGGCTACACCGGAAGGGACTCCTCTGTACAACGCAGCAGCTTCGGAGGACGTAGCAACAGGCTTCTCTCTACCGGCCCCTTCATCTGCTTCGTCTACAACAGATTCGTCCTTGGGACCGTCTGTCTTGTAATAGTTTTGAGAGCGCGTCCATCGGCGAGAGAAGGGATCGTATCCCGCTTCTCCGGCCTTGGCGTCCACATTCACAGGTTTCAAGTCCGAGGCATTCTTGAAATTCTCGAATTTGTTCTTTCGGTTCATCTCCGCCAGAGCCAACGCCTTGGAGTCCTTGCTTTTCACCTGCGATGAGAATTCTTCCAGCTCCCTCAGCCGGGCCTGCAGCCTATCTATCTCCCCATGGTCCCCTTTATTCTCCGCCGCAGCTAGTTCCTTCACGATACGATCCTTCTCCAGGGCGATATTCGACGGACGGGACGTGGCGTTCTTTTTTTCCTGAATCATCTGCTTGACAGTTGCAGCAGAGTACACAAACGAGCTAACCTTCGCAATAGCCTCTCGCTTTTCTTGAACGTCAGCTTTGGAAAGTTTCTTGCCGCCGCAACGATCGATCTCTCTGAACAATTCCAACACTTCTTTCTCGGTGGGTGCCTGATCCGAAGCTCTTACCATTTGCCACCGTGCAGCTGAGTTCTCGTCGCCCCAAACCAAATTCAAATACTTGTGGGTCATTCGGTTCTCGAACTTGTACTGCTTCTCGATTGCTGTCGCATCCACGTTCTTCACAGAGCATACTCGGTATATACTCTGACCGGAACTTGAGACACCGATTCCGATTCGGACGTAACATCCGACAATGACATCCTCAAAAAAGGGCTCCATAAACCACTTGTGCAGCTTCGAGCGCCTGATGGTGATGCTCTTGATGTCCTGCCAGTCTGCATCTGGCTCGCCTTTCCTGACGTCATCGTCGTCCGAAGCCCCGACACTCCGATCGTCATCCTCCCTGCTACTCTCGTCGTCATCGTCGCTGTAGTCTGAGTCGGAGTAGCTTCTGTTGCGAGTCTTCCTCGCAGAAGAGCGTCTATCTCTCTCCCTGGAAGCAGAAGCAGGGGTGTCTCGATTTTTCTTTTGCAGCTCGGGGTCTTGAGCACGCTGCCTCCTCTGCACAAGTTCATGCAAAGCATTCTCCTTGGAAGTTCTTGGAGTCTCTCTCGACTCCCGGAAGGAAGAACGAATTCGAGAAGATGGCGGGCCTACGTCTCTCTCCCTCGGCTTCGCTGCTTTATTTTGCACTCGGTTGTGCCGAGCGCCGGCATCTTTCCTCATCTTGTGATTGTCTCGGGCCTCGGCTCGATCATGCAGAATCATTTCTCGATCCAGTTCAGTCATCGCAGCCAGGCGGGCTCGATCTTCGTCATCTTTGTACAAATCACTGCCGAAGGATATGTCGCTCTCATACCCATCGCGCTCCCCTTCGTCCCCGTCCTTTTCCGCGGAATCGAACCTTTTCTTGAGCGGCATTTTGGACCCTTCGGCCTTCCGACTGGATCTGCCTCTCTCATAATCATCGTCGTCGTCAAAGTCATTCTCCGATCCCCCACTCCGATCGTCAGAACTGCTATCGTTGACAGGTCCTCGACGCTTCGGAGGGCGACTCGACGACCCGGCCTTGACATCGCCATGGCCACCCTTCGGCCGACCAGCGGCTTCCAAGAGCATGTCATCGAGTGAGTCGGCCATTTTCCTCTAGGTGCAAAAAACGTCGAGAAGCTGAACCCCCACAAAAATCACAGTTTCACGAACGCTAGGAAGCTAAAAACCTCGCAATCCAAGCTCCTCGCCTCCCCCCTGACCCCACACAAAAAGGCTTCCGTCCTGCTGCGTGGAACGAACGTCACAAGAGGCGAAATTCCCCACCGCTCATCGACGATATCCTCCAAGATCGGCGAGCCCATCAGCAACGAGCTGACGCCAAGGCATATACGCCCTCCCGTCGATTTTTTATGAGCGTCACCAGAAGCGCATGGCCCCGAGCTGAGCCAGAGTCAGAAATGTCAGTCAGTCGGCAGTGCAAACAACGAGCACAGAACGCAACACCCGCCCGACAAACCCTAACCTCCAATTGAGAACACACATCGGTCCCTTTTGCCGACGAAACACGAGTTCCACCGCAGGCAGGACCCGGAATAGCCTTGTAAAAACAGCGAACTCGTCCCTCCGACAATTTGGAGCCTCGTCGCCACCGCGACTGCTTCATAATCAACGGAATCTCGGTCGAGGATTGCTTCCTCCCGCCACCCAGCGTTTCGTACCTGCCCTAGTTCGAAACAGCTTGGCCCGTTTCCTCGATCGAGCCCCGGCTACCCTCGTCACTAAGGGCTCCTCAGAGGAGGGGGAACGCGAGCTCTGCCCGCCCGGGCCCGCATCCCGACCCCTTCCCCCTCCACCCGCAGCCAGACACCCTCCCCCGCAGCCCGACCTCCCGCTTCGACCATGGAGGCCCTCCCGCTTTAGCTCGCCCGACTCCCGCTCGACCATCGGACTCTTTCCCTCGCGGCCTCCCTTCGCCGCAGGGAACTTGTACTTCGTATTTTCTTACTCCCCCATGCCCCATTTCTCCTCCCCTCGCACAAGGGAGGAGAAATGGAGTAGCATTGTTTGGGGCTTCCACTCTTCTTCCCAAAAAAAACTAGGTCATTTTTTTTCTAAAGATTTAGTTTTTAAATAAAATTAATTCTTTTCAATTTTTATATTTAAATAAATCTATTCATGTATTAACATGATAGAGAATCACAAGAGAACACATAATGAAAATTTTCAAAAGATTTAGTTTTTAAGTAAATTAATTCTTTTTAATTTTGATATTTAAATAAATCTAATCATGTATTAACATGATGGAGAATCACAAGAGAACACATAATGAAAGATTTCATAAAAATAAAATTATAAAATGATAACAAAATCGATGGAAAAACTCAAATCATAAACTTTATTTCACAAAAATCTCATGGTCCACAATAACCAGGGGTCTGGAGTCTGGCTGGGGCAGGCTCCCCACTTTCGGGGGAACGCAATGCCCAGGCCGCAGCCCGGGGAGGGCCCGCAAACCCGAGGCCGACCTCCCGGGTTTAGGGGAGCCCTTAGTGGCGAGGGTCTCCCTATATATTAACCTGTTTACCATACCTAATAACCACATTACACTGGTGCAGATTTAATTAGTGAGTATCAAATTGCTAACTAAAGCCAGTTTTGACTCTACTCACAACATTGGTGTAGAATGGATCAGTGAGTGTGAAATTGCTAACCAAAGCTATTTTTTACTCTCCTCACTACACTCCTCCATCCCCCGTTTGTAGAATCCTTCATTATGAGTTCCCTTGTGATTTTCCATCATGATAATACATGAAAAGACTTACTTAAATGTAGAAATTGAAGAGAAATAAGAAGAAAAGAGGGATTTGGAAAAAAAAGGACTTGGTTTTTTTAGGCTTCAGGAATATGAGCCGGCTTCGCAAGGAGTATGTAAGGATCGGCACGTTCGGTACATTTCTCATTCTTTGTCCAGTCCGAGGAGGAACTTCAATTCTTCTAGAAGTACATCCCGTGGAAGATCAAGGGAAAGAAGTGAAGAAAGTTCTATATTTTGGCACTTAATTATAGTGATGTGTTTAGTCACATAGTAGGCCTGCATAATCATATTCGTCTAAGTGGATACGACATTTCACTTTTCATATCATTATGATGTATCGGAAAATCGATGAATCTAGCAAACAACGAAAAGCGTTGTTGACATGGCATTGTTGGACCGAGTAGTGCAGGGTTTAGTGATTTATCGACGTGAAACTCATATCCCCTCCCGTGAAAATCCTGGTACTTGGATGATGTATGCTCCGTGTATCGTACATGGCATTTTCGAGACGATAGACGTATGAGGTTATGAGCAGCCATCTATCGAAAATACCATATTTCGAGTTTAATGATAAATTATCATTACCTTTAACTAGGATCAGAGTTTTATTCATGATAATTGTTTTATCTTGGTGAAGGCCCCAAACATGCTCCTATATTTTTCCTCCCCTTTGTGAGGGGAGGAGAAATATAGGGAAGGGAGCGGGAGGTCGGGCTTGCGGGCCTGGGCGTGCAGAAAGCCTTCCCCCGAAAGTGGGGAGCCCTTAGTGACGAGGGGGGAGATGGGGTCGGAGAGGGGAGGTCGGGCTGCGGGCAGAGCTCGCGTTCCACTTTTCTGAGGAGCCCTTAGTGACGAGGCGTCGCGATAGTGTCGTATATACTTTGGCGATGGTTATGACATTTCAACTATTTGTACTTTGGTGTTGGTGATATTTGAATATGAGAGTTTTAATTATTATAATTATTTATCTTACTTGATATATTTTTGCAAGATAAGAAATAAATTCTATTTGCTTAAAAAAATACAAATATATTGATAAAATGTGTCATCGAAGAAGTATTATGCATTCTAAACTATAACGGGTATTTATTGGATGGGAATCTATCCCAACCTAGAAGCTTACTAGAAACTTTTAAATTTACTTATACCACATAAAGATACACGTCTTACGTGTTCTGGTATCAAAAGACGGTAGAGACAACGGAATTTTGTTATGAAACGGGTAGTGCATTCGAACAACACTAGGGAGAAAGTAAGTCGCGGAGGAGAGAAATCGAATGAATGGCTACATACAATGCCAGGTTGTGGTCCTATCGTGTTGCTATCGGAATGGTGTTCTTACAGGGTTACATATCACAAGTTCGGCGGAGCATGTCTCGTCCAAGCATTTTCTCGACAGAAATAAATTGACGACTTTGTTGCAACTGGTTAGAAGAGATCAGAAATTTAACAAGGATTTTTCACAACGTTGCTCAATTTCTTGTGAAGACGGAAAGGACAAAGACAGATTGGGGTAGTCACGGCTGGGATGTCCAAAGCCCAAGCCAAAATCGCAACTCCTGCTTTCCTTTGACCTTGTCAACGTTGTCTATCACTCAACCTTATCTTGATGCTCAGGAGACAAAAATTTGCAGATTTGACGATGAAATTACCCAGTTACAAGGGCTACAGAAGCAACTGATTTCATGCAAGAATTCGAGAGAAAGAATTCCGGCCATAGAGACCAGACGAGTGAAAAATGCATTTAATGGCATTGAACAATCCGGAATATATGTAAAACCAGCTATTGCTTTGGCAGGCAAGGTGCTTATGAGAGAAGCCTTTATGTATTGAAGTGTTTGGTTGCCATTGGTCAATAACAAATGATACGTTAAAGGTCGGGAGTATGACTGATTCTTACAAACATCTAACATATCCGGTGCAAATGAAGTTACCAACAAATAGATATTGAGAAAAACACTGAAATAATAATGATTTGAGATTGCAGAGGTTCACTAAAGTTCCTATGTACAAGAATATGTTTTAGAACTTCGTGATGGTGTGCCGTTGGTGGGGTTCCTTTAGATAAAACAAAATTTTATGGATATCATCAAGCAATTTAGTTTCCAATGGGGTGTCATCAAATAAATACCTCAAACAATGCCTATCATTTGAATTATTATGGTAAACTAGGCGAATCTCTTGAACTCATATCCCTTGAGCACTAGTGTTATTGTCCTATTATTATTGTGAAAGATTACTAAATCATAAGTTGAGTTCCTACAGTTCATGTTTGAGTCAAATCATGCGTAATTTTGGTTTTAGGTCTTAGAATTCAACATAGTATATTGTAATTAATGAAAGATCTTGTATAACAAAGTATCGCAATGGTTAAGTAAGTAATAGTTTGTGTCACCAGATTAGCTTGAACATGAGCTAGCCTTTGGATGTCTAGACAATGTAGAACAATCAAATTTAGATAAATCTTGCTGACTTATGATGGCATACTCTGATCTAAAGAATGAATTATGAATAGAGCACTTGAATAGCAAAAATTCCTCTGGCGATCTCAAGTGTTGGCTTAAAGTCATTTAATTTTAGAAAAAATCTCAAAAGTTCAAAATTGTGGTACTTTGAATATGTGGCAAAGCCGGCAAGTCTAAAGGAGTATGTTGTGCCAAAGCAAGTGGATATTTTTCAGCAAATGTAACATACAACCAACATTTTTAAAAAATATTTTCACAATAACATTTGTGTTCAGTGATGCCAAGAGTATGGTTTTTTTCACTTCATCTCACACAAACAAAATTGTATGAATGTTACATTGTGAAAGTTCATAAGTAAAAATTTAATATAATACAAATATTAATGAATATAAAAAAACTTAATCTTTATAAAAATTACTGTACCTGTCAAAATGAAAATATTAAATTTTTGAAAATTTGAATCTTTGATCTTAATATATGCACATTGCAAAATATTATCTAAATTTGTAATCGATTGAAATATAAGAAACATATGATCATCAATAGTTTAATGTTTCTCTAGGGTGAAATTTGTCTTGAAATGAATTAGACACATGTCATTTCAAAATCCATACATACTGAAGCTCATCATTCTTGTTAGAGAGATGCATATATTCAAACCCTAAAGTGAAAGTGATTATTTTTGAAACTCAAATTTACATCATAAAATTGAAAAAGCATATACTTTTTTCATAAAACAATTTGTTGTATCAAGAAATGAGTGTTTGAAATAAAACTCAAAATAAAATTTTCGTGACAATGAGATTTATACTCATTGTCCAACAAAGGTGATCACAACTCAACAAATATCTCCTACCACTTTTTCCAAGCATTTCGATATATTTTCAGCTGAAGTGAGCTAAGTGACTGTGGACACAAATATCTTGTTTTTTTTTGTTGTGAATCCGACTTTTTCAACATACCAAAATTTTCAGAGAGTAATTTCAAAGTGTTTCTATTTTCTTGCGTTGAGCAGTGGACCTTCTCCTGCACATCGCAGTCATCTTCTACTTTAGGAAAAATGTGGAAACTATTCAAAATCATCGTCATTCTCGACTAGGGCAAACAATGTATGAAGGTTGTTCTTCAAAATGAGCTTGCTCATGACAACCTGCCAAATCCACATGCTAAAGCAGACTCCTGTCAAACCACATTCTCGAAGTTGACAGAGAGAAGCATCTAGCCTCATTTCGATCAAATTCTCTACATGAAGAACATATGAGTTGTAAAAACAAGGTTGGTGCTTTTGTAAGATTTAAAAATTACTTTTTAATATGTCCAAACAAAACCAATTTAAGCAAGTCTCCACTAAGTGGAAAGTAGATTTATGTCAAGGAAAAAAATTACATGGCATAAAATATTTCTAAGGTTTTACTCTAAGTTCTACTGATTTGAATCCCTAATCTTAGAAAAAAAATTTGAATGATTTTTTAAGTAAGTTTATCAAGATTAAGATTAAGAATTTTTTGAAATAAAATTATGTTGGCACATTAAATTTTGTCTTAGTATGAATGAACTCGGTTAATTATTATATTAATAGATTTTTAGATCTTTTTCTTGAGTGGAAAGGAGAATTAGTTTGAACATGTGTCAAAAAAATACGATTTTTATGAATTTAAACAACAAAATGATTGCCATGAACATTACAAGAAGCTGGATTTGACATAATCAAAGACAATGAATGATAGCGATGACTATATATATGAGAAAGACAAATAATAATTTACATGTTTAGCCTAAATATAGAAAAAAAATTCCACTTATAAAGTTTTTTTCCTACATTTATAACCTTTTAAGTGAAATTTTCATAAGAGATAATCATAAGATGCAACATAATTTTACCATAACACATTTAACATAGTTGATTTTCATAATTGTCATCTTCTCACAATGGCGACTTTTACTAAGTTCAGTTAAAAAATTTAGAATAATTACTTTTCATCAAATTCTCTTCAACTTCTCTATTCCAAATGAAACCAAACAATTTGAGATTTAGATAAAGATTATCCTCCATACTGAGTTTTCTTATCTTCCAGACAAGTTCATTTTTTACTATCTTTTCTTATCATTCACTTTCTTTTAAAATCCAAGAAATTAAAGAACTTGTGAGATTCAAAAGTTGTATAAGGTAACGGGTGGTACCATTTTACTTGTAAAGTGAAGAAAATCCATAATGTTATCTATATCAAACAGAGCATTAAAGCCCTTAGGACAAACATACTTTCACTATTTACATGACGTAGATAGAGCATAATCTGTTTATCTTCTCATGACTATGAAATGTCTCATCGTAAATCAGAATAGCCAAACTTAAAAACCTGATTATAAACCGGAAAATACATCACTCACACTCTAACATCATTTCTATATGAAGATCTAGATTCTCAGTGGCATACTTTCTTTAGAATTGCGCGTAAATATCGATAATCCTGAAAAAATGCCTAGAATTGATCAGTACTTCATTTAATTTCAATCAGTTTACATTTATCCAGTAAAAGCTTGGAGTATTATCCAAGATAGGCGTTAAGACGTTTGTTGTAAGTATCTATAAGTAATTACTTATAGATACTTGAAGAAGATCACCGTAATTATACCTTTATCTGCTTGTTTGCTTAGTTCAGGTTTCTATACGTGCATTAGAATTTAGCGTGTAATCTAATCCAATCGGATGTTTATCTATCTGTTTGTGTTTATTGGTTTGATGTCATATACTTCACATTAGGAGTTTTCGCTCAATTTAACGTAAACTCGAGCATATTACATGTTTATTGGATTTTACATATCACACTTCAATAATGCTTCACATACATATCAGAAAACTTTTGCATGAATTTTTGAAAGACACATTATCATGGTCTACCATGGACACAGTGGAATACAAATTACTTGAAAAAGGTTGTAAATCCATGACAAAGTATACTTGGCACGTAAAAGCCCAAAATGATGGCATGGAAGAAAAAGAAGTTGTGAAGATCATGAATATTTTCGGAGTCAGATTGATACGCGCAATTCAACATATTCAATGGTACATCAAAATACAATATATATAGGAGGCGGCTAGTTGGCTAGTTATCCCTCACCCTACTGAACAGAGCTCTATGATTGGTCAAAGCTATCCCAATGTTTACTAGAGCTCCGTGATATAATCTTCGCGACATATGGGGGAGAAGTAGTAGAAAGGGGAGAAGGTGAAGGATAATTAGCCCAAACTGAGGGGTAACTAGCCCTCACTATTTGTATATATATATATATATATATATATGCTTGCTTGCTCGCTCGTAAGTAAAGAAAAAACGTCATAACTCGTTGACTTCCAAATATCTGAAACGATTCCGAAGAATGACGAGAATCTCATTCTTCTCTTTATTTCTTTAACAATAAATTATGAAAGAAAGGAACTACTGACCCTTCCAGCAGTAGACCACTTTTTGTCTTCACATTCACTGCCTACGGTAAAAAAAATGCGCTAAGAGAAGTACGGCGATAAGTGAACCTTAGGCTTTGAGCATTGACTTCAACAGCAATTTTACATTTGACTCGATACCCGATGACATCTTTGAATTCTTGACCTGTTTTACTTTTGATTGAAATCAAAGAGGCTCATCCGCAAGCCACCGTCGCAAGAAGGTAAGAGCTTCAGCAGGCTTGTACTCAGGCACAGTATGGCCAGAACCCTGTGGAAAGGTAGAAAAAACAAAGTCAAGTTGTGCCTGTATCATCTATACATTTAGCAGCAGGGGCAATAATTAAAAACAAAAACCACTTCTTTCCTTTACCTTTACGGTTGCAAATGTAAGATGATTCGCATATCCCTGAGTGTACCTGCAATTTCAATCTGTATTAGTAGACAGAAAACTGAAATGAAATGGCGTTCTTCGTCGATGCTAACCTTGCACACGGATTATCATCACAACGAGAAGTGGTAGGTTTCCTTGCGAAGAAGAACCGTAAAATTACACCCATGGTTTGAATATCGCGAAAAGAGTAGCCAAAGGAGGGTATTTGAGGACAATAATATAAGCTAGACAAAACATCCCAATGTGGGCTAAAAGGACGTTGAGCACGATGGGGAGAGGGTTACGAAACACACCCAGCCACTTGACCATCCACAAACCATGGTCTCCATCGATCGACCACTTTATAACCCATGGATCTAGTCCATGCCTCCGAACCCGTGTATGGAACGCACATGTCATGATCTCCACTGTCATGGCAACAAAAAATCACAACAAAAATTAGTGAGAAGGCAAGCATATTCCATTGTATGTTGAACACATGAAAAACAGAGGATGATTTGGTCAAGAATTCTTAGAAACAGTGTGAAGTGGAAAAGAAAACCGCAATGCAAAGACTGGAGCTGTTCCTTTTTCCTTTTTCACTTACTATAACAGAGACACAACTGTCAAGCATATATGTGCAACACGTACGCGAATAAGTACCATGGCCCACAGCTTCCCGAGCACAGCTATTATTACTGGGAAATAGCGAAGTAATCACCTACAGATAAGAGATTCCAAGCCAGTCTTACCTATAGACAAGAGCCCTGTAGCCTTTCAATGTGAGGTTTCTGTGAATGGGAATCATGCTACCGGCATCACTGTAGAAGATAATCTGGTTCGTACAGAGCTCCCAAAGTCCTATTTCTTTCATCTGAAGGGAGAATCACCAGAGGTTACATACAGCGATAGAACATGAACCAATCAACGCGTTAAACTTATTACTACACCTGATAGCAGAGTTACTGCGCAATGGAAGGGTACATACCGGTGCTGCATGAAGAGCTTCTCTTACTGCTGGATTATTGAGCCAGGCCATCGCAACATGATCATCCTGCAATACACAGCCCCGCTGTTAATAATTTCCAGTCCACCACATCTGAAAAAATATAGACAGCTCCATGTCTCTCCATGAACAATGTTTCTTCATTTTCTTCTTCAAACTACCCTCCATAAAAGTTGAAAAAGGCAACTGCCAAGCATCACAGTTTCGAAGTATATCTGAGAATTCAAATCTGCCAGACAGGCAAAAAAGTAGTACTATACCATGCAAGGAACCTCCAACTCCTCATCACCCAATTCGCCCCAAGTTGGAACACGGCCCGCTATGTTTGGCAAACGGAGAGGCCAGGCACGACCGAACATCCTCTTCCTCACATTTAATTTGCGCTGTGTCTCACCCAATTTTCTGAAACTACTGGGAAGTCTGCTGTGCCGCACTGACAATTCCAGAGTTTTCGGTTTATGATAGCAGGGTTCAAGTATATCGTACACATTGATATCTTTCACGTCCTGCCCAGCCAATGAAGAATGAGCTAATACATAACCTAGATCTTAGGAAAAGCAAATGTCAATGTACGTTTACTCGCTCTCCATGAATTTCAAAACTTGTACCATGTCCTCTAAATACTATCCTTTTCATGTATAAGGTTCTATCTCAAATAAGATCATTTCTTATACCTCATCAATAGTTTCAAGATGTTTCTCGCATTCTTCAGTGGTGATATTCCAGTAGTTTCCAGCGCAAGCTTTCTGAGTAGCCTGAGAAGGAGAGAAATATCAATTGACTTTCTGTAAACCAAGAGGCTTCTGCATTCAGACGAATACCTTGAAGATTGTTAGCATCCTTGAGAAGCTCTAACCATACAACTTGACCTGCAAACGGTTCTCACCTCAAAAAGTTCGTCCGAAATAAGGCCCATGCCATGAACAAACGGAACAATTGCATTCCCATCAAAGGCTTGATCTGTGCATCCGTTTCCAATAGCATATCCCTGTGACAGATTACACCAAAGTTTTAAGAAAAGCTAAAAGAAAAATGGTGGGGACAGCCGTGATTTTCTTGCATTTTCTGAGGCATTTCCTTGAAAAAGAGCTATTTTTAAAAACTTGAACCGTCTTGGAACTGTAGTACCTTAAAGTTCAACACAGGTTCTACTCCAGCTTCAATGCCTGCAAGGTAAATCTGTGTTTAGCCCAAAGGTTACACATGATAATTCCTCAAAAGTTAACATACACTGGAGTCTCATATAGGAGGGTAATTTCAAACCAGGTTCACCTTACCTTCAGCAATATTTCTGCTCAATGTGGGTACGTAAATACCGCCATATGATTCCCCGGTAACAAAAAGGGAGTTTGTCTTGTACTCTGGGTATAACTCAATCCACTGTCTCAAGGAAAATGAAAATAATTAGTATTAAGCACCATAACATTTTATAACACAAGTTTTTAAAAGGGATATGGGCGAAATACAGATCCTCACATTTGCCAGAGCTCAAGCGTCAAGCAACAAATGCACGAACATCTTGTCAATTATCCTATAGCATGTGTCGACATCAGTGAAAAGTTACCTGCATGAGTAGAAAGATTCCTCCACAAGGAGTACTTCACGCTTCCTACACTTTGCGCATACAGGCTGCAATTTATCTGATGAACTACTTATCTATCTACTTCAATCTTGTAGAATTCAGCTTCAGTGCCGATAAGAATACTTCCCGGAATTTAAAATCAATCTGTTTCCATCTATGCAATAAGTTTCACAGTAGAAAAACATAGGGGGTTTCTTCATGCTTGAAATGTTGACTGGGGCTCAACATTCTCACCTTGAGAAGGAATTTATGTAGATCTGAAGCAGTCTTCAATTCGCCGGTTAGGTAATCAGCCTTAGTTTTCGAATATGAGAAGCCAACTCCAGCCGGCGAGTCCACATAAAGAATGTTGGCAACCTACAATCATCAAAAAGCTTGGTCGCCTCAGTTCTCAAAGCCTATTAATATCTCTGCTCCATCACTGCACATTCAATATGAATGTCATTCTATAGAACTGAAGATACTAACAACAAATGGCGTCCTAAGTAGCCACAATTAGTTGTAACTGATCACAATCCAGTATAGTGAACTCACCTTGGACCAGGAATAACGATTTTCCGTGAGCTTAGGCAAGTCCTTCTCTCCCTTGGCCGGTTCAAACTCAAACGGACCTGAAATAAAATCGTAATTCTTAACTTGAAACATCACCAACACTATTTCTCCCTCTACGGTAACTATCACTAATTTGCTTGAAGTGAACATTCTCAATGATATTAAAAATGAAAACAATGTAGAATAACCAGGGTGCACAAAGAGAAAAAGCACATTCAGGCAGTCACTACACCCGGAACTTGGAAATAAACAAACCGTGCTCGTAGATGAATCCATCGAAACTTGAACATCCAGGACCTCCATTTAGCCAAACAACCAGAGGATCAGTACGTGCTGTACTGCTTTCTGAAGTGACGAAATAATAATAGAGCTGGCGTCCATGCGACTCATCCACCGACACATACCTGCCAGTCCACCGTAAGCGTTTTCAAAAAGTCAATGATGAGATGTCATCTTCATGACCCAGGAATTCAAGGTCATAATTCAAAGCTTATTAGGGCTCCAGGAGGCCTCCTGACCTTCAAGAAACTTCCTGGACCTACAGAATGAGGTGGAGGATAATGATGGTACTCTCGAAAGAATCATGTAAAAGTTGAAGCAGAGCCATTCAAATGAAGGAGTTTCCTTACGCACCCGCCATAATGGGCAGATGGGAATTCACCCTCAAATCCAGGAACGTGCGTTATCAAGGCTTCTTCAGGCAATCCCAAGCATCCCTGAAGAAGTCCGATAACCATCAGTGCTCCCGCAGCTGCGCGCATCCCCTTCCATATACCGTCCCCCATCTTCACGCCAAGATTCAGAATCAATCAAAACACAAATTCGCAGCACTGTCTCAATGGCATCTTCCAAGCCCTTCCGCACTCCGTAACACCATAATCTATTTCCATCAATTATTCATCTCGTCTTTCATCCTTCTCCACAACATTGTCAAAAGCAAAGCAATATACCGCTCCCTCTTAACTCAGCACTGAGAAAATTGACATTGAAAAGAAAAAGAAGAGAACAGCAAACAAACAACTCGTGCCTAAGGCGACCCCGTCGCCCAGAAGAAATGTGCTACGTGCAATGTACGGACCGACCCGACGGTCGGAACCAAAATCAACAAGCACTTCACATGACGTTACGCTAAGAGCATCAATTTCCAGAGCCACCAGAGTCCCATCCTCTTCCTTCTCCTCCGAGCCCAGGCCGCACAGAAAACGAACATAAACAGCATTGATTCGCTCGTGCATGGATCGGAGAAGGAATCCGTGTCTTTCACCTTGATGGTCGCTCTCTCCGTATGATCGATGTCGCCGAGTCCAGCGGGCGTGTCCGAAAGAATGGTCACAGAACGTGGGCTCATTTGAGAGAAACCCACGGCCTTGTCATCCGGACGCTGCTACTTATAGCCCGTCGCCTCCATGAGTTTTGGAAGAGTCTGGCGCTGCTCGTGACTCTCTGTTTGCTTGGCCTGCAGTTGAAGCACATGAGTTTGACGTAGCGTCCAAGCGGCTCGCTGCAGTTCGCTTCTAGTCCCTTCGACGAGAAGACCCACGTGAATTCGAGCCTACCGTACCTTTCGACTACTTTGCGTCAGAAGGTCGCCGAGATTCTATATCAACGATACCCAGAGCTCTTCAATCCAGAGACGTAATCATCGAAAGGTCGAGGATTGGTTTCGTTTCATTTCATGCACCACCGTGCGAAGTACGGAATACTGAGCAGAGTGTTCTGCTCTGATTCTCGACTACTGTGGTAACGTTCTCGACGAGAAAACCGGAACAACAAACGGAGAGGGAAAATTAACTTCGATAAAATGAAGGCCAAGTTACAGTGAAGTTAAGCCTCGACTCATTACATCTTTATTATCCACATGCGTTTCAGTTTCACGTTGTTTCTTCGTTTAAGAAATGCATAGGTTGCAAGGTAAATATATGCATGATGCTATGTTTACTATAGCAATTTATTTTCCAATGGAGTGCCATCCTAGTTGAACTTCAACCGGGAATTCGTACTTGGAAACTATTATTTATAGCATTCAAGTCACTTCATTTATCAAAACACTTGCGGTAAATGTATTTATGTAAAAGTGCACCTCCAGTTCTCAAGTCAATTTGGAATGTTGGTTACTTTCGTCCAAATCAAGTTTATGATTATATATGACTTGTCTTACAGAGTAAAGTTAGTTCATTTCTAGCTAGAATATAGATATAAGATTATTTGTCTTCATACATTTCCACACTTACTGTCTATTTTCATTTTTGTATAATCTTCCTAGACCGTTACTCTTAGCTTTGGTTCCGCTACATTGTACATAGTGATAGTTGGAATCTCTTTAATCCATTCATGCGCATCACTAATTAGATGACGAGTCATTTGGCTACATTAAAAGAGTCATATTCAATCCCGAGGTACATTCACTTGGCATGATCACTTTTGCCAATAAATTTGGAATGTATCTTTGGATTTACAAGTATCTTTGGATACAAACTTTTTTCCATCTTTATTATTCGATAAATAAGATCATCCAAAATTCATATTTCGTTGTAGATTAAATAAGATACTTGTAAATGACAAAATTTTTATTATTTGTAGTCATCAATCAACAAAATAAATACGATCCTATTGTAGGTGATTATTTTATGACAATAACTTTCTCTTATTCATCTAGTCTTCAAGATTCTAAATATCAAACATCAAATCATTAAAAATATCAATGTGATATCATTTCAAAATTATTTATTTTGAGGTTATTCTACTTCAAAGAGATATAATGTATGTTTCACAATTTTTAGCTATAAAAATTTAACTTGAAAGATTAAAATGAAAATACGATTGTAATGATCATCCCATATTTTTTTTAACATGAAACTTGTACGTATAATATAACAATATATTTTTGCAAAATAATTCTAGTTTTTAATTGACTATAAAGGAATAGCGTATTACCGATTTTAACATGCTCCTAATTTATCTCTCTCACGCAACGTGGCCCCCTGTCTGATGCTAAAGCCATTCGTCAGGAATGAGAAACCTTCCTAAGAGAGAAACTCAAATTGCTAAAATTCATCATGCTTATTAAAACTTATTAACATCAAATCTAAATATATTTATTTTTTATTATAATAATTTTTGTCTACAATTTCATATAATTTAATGTATTTTTTATCTCATCTTTATATATGTATATTTCACTCATATGAAAAACAAATTCTCAAATGAAAGAATACAACATCATTTGACTCTTCTTTATGCCTTTTTATACATTAAGTAAGATCATTATACTTCCATCATGTGAATTATTTTTGCTAATGATCTCCTACTATTTTGTTTTTTGCAGTTTTTTTTACCTATTCCTACATTTGATAAAGTCATTATACTTAATAGATTTGCTTTAGTCTTAGCTTTTTCTTACTTACTTTTTTTTGTGAAAAAAGGTATTTGCAATCTTGCAAAGTTTCTTGTACAATAAAAACATCAAAATTAATCTCCATTTGAAATTATTATCCACTTCTTTTGTCAAACATGATTCTTATTCTTTGGCTTCTTATTTCTATTTTTTAACTTGAAATATTTGCAAACTTGTAGTAATGTTTTATATCAAAATTTCAATATCATATTCTATGCAAATGTGCTACAAGATTGCATAATGTAAGATATATATCAATCTTTCGACTCTTAATACAATCATCGGGTAATCATTTAACTATGGTTTATTAGAGTAATCGAACTCTTTATGAACATTTTATCAGAATCATGCGTTCATAATGGAGAGTATACTTCTCAGTAGTTTTGGAATTACTACTAAGAGTATGAGGTTATTTCATCACAATTTATATTTATAATAAATAGTTGATTTTAAGAGATTCAATCTAACATTCTTCAAAAAAATGTCCAGTATGTTGAACACATCTGATAAACCATATTGATTTTGGGTTGAAGTTGTCAATACCGCAATGTATTTGGTAGACCTTTCTCCTTTTAGTGCACTCAGTTTCTTGACATCATTTGAATTGAATCATTAACAAATGACTGATTATGGTGGTTTGATATTTTCTGTTGTATGATTTTTACTTTCATAACTAATAAGACTAAAACCAAGTTTGATCCTAGAATCTAGTATTTTAAAATCTTTTTTGATCCTTTTTTACATTTTTGACACAACATTTTCTAACTTTTGGAGCCATATGTGATTTGAAATTTTTCAATGGTTATCTCATTTTTCTAACTCACATTGAAATATGTGTTTTTCCTCTACCAATGTTAGCACCATCAATTATCTTGTGTTCTCGTGCGTTAATATTTTTCTAATCTCTACACTTGATATTTTAAAATCTGAGCCTAAATCAAATCATGCAACTCTTTTGTTTATTTTCTTATTGGCAAAGACAATTTTTCTCTTGATGTGTTGTCTATTTAAGCTTTTTTCAATTTTTGTTTAGATCTAGTTAAGAAGATTTTAATATGCTACATTTTCAAGATCATTTGACTCTCACTATAGAGAGTTCAGATCTTCATATAGCAAAATTGCAACTAATCAAATTGCTCAAAACCATTTCTTCTAAGTTTTTTCTGCATCACAGGAACATGAGTGCTAGTAGACTATCTTGTAATGGATAATGACGAACAATTATAAAAACTTGGTGAAGTCTAAGAAACAACGTTTTTTTGGCACAAGCAAGAGTCCTTAACATGTAGACTTCTAGAGTATTCCAAATCTTTTTGGAGACAATTGGTAATACGGACATCAAAATCTACTCTTGATCCAAAGTCTTTGATCTTTTTGGCTGAAAAGCATTATTTCTTAATTCATGCTACATTTATGCCGCATTGTGAAGAAATATATGACTTATTCTCTACAATAAAAGTAATGTATCAACTTAGAAAACTAGCAAATAATGAATGTGAGGATTTTGATGATCATTCTATGGAACTATTAAATCACACTGAATTTTTTTTTAACAATATGCGGATTTAAGTTAATTTTTGCCCTGCATACAACACTATTGATCATATATAAAAATAGCGTATTTAATAAAAATATTTTTTCAAATACAATTGAAAAGCTTTATTTTGCGGCTTCATTGATTCAAGAAAAAATTTTGACACTTTACCTCATCATCACTTATGGGTTATGAGGTACAAGCCGTTGAAATATCTTTAAATCTCTTAGCAGCGATGGCCACATTATACGTATCTGTTTGGTCCAAGATCAACAATTTTTAAAATCAAAAGATCTTGAATACTATTGGAATCAATCAAGATTTTACTTTCTCTCTTACTCTATTTGAAGTTTTTATAAATGATATCAAAAAGTGGTTGAAGTAATGTAAGAGTGAAGATATCAAGCTTGAAAACTTTGTCATCAAAGCTCTTTTGTATATAGATGATATCATATTACTAGCATATGATGCTATTACTTTACAAAATTATATCCAAAATCATATGAAGATTAAAATGAAGAAGACTAAAATGATTATAGCAAGCACTAGATCTAAGTTTTTGTTTTTTTCAAGGTCCTATAATGAAATAAATGAAGAGTCATAGGTGAAATACATGAAAATTCATTTTATATCTAGACGTTGGATTTCTAATTACTATTGTTGTACACTTTGCGTAAAAAACTAAAAGATATTTACACAACTCTATATCTGTTGTTAAATTGGTGCAAAAGAGTTCAGCTAGTGTCTTAGAGTCTTAGAGAATTCTTATTCAAGAGCTTAGCGGTGCTGGTAGTCTTACATGAAACTTAAACGTGGAGTTTTGGTTGTAAGAACACATGTTGAAAGTGTGTAGAAAGGATGCAAAAGATCTTCTGACAAGAAGAATCGAATGTAAAAAATCAAAGTTCATATATCATTCTCCTTGCGGATTAGTTTGTCTACCTCTAAAATTTGAAGTTCTTTACTTGATCGTCACTTACATCAAAAGGATGAAATTTCTGATGCTTCTCTAATTTCTCTTCAAGCTTTGCGTGCCACTCATTTCATTATGGACATGATGCTTCAAGTGAAATGTGATAGAATGCTATTGAGATTTGCAACCAATGACATTCCAGAAAGAGATTTTTTTTAGCAATATTTGGAAAAAAATCTGACACCAAAATGTAGTTTTATCAACTACATTTGAATTATATGCTTGTTTACTATGAAAAAAATAATCTCTTTCAGATATCTCTATGTTCTTACATTATATAATTGTGTGGCATAGGAATAAGTTTCAAAGGCTTAAGATTGAATAAAGTGAATGGTTTAATATTGATAAAAGTGAACGGATTTGCAAGTTATATGGCAAAAAAAATATTAATGATGAAAAACATGTCTTTGTAATGATAATAATAATTAGCTAATAATAAGCTAGAAAGAGATTTTTAAAATTATTCAGCTGTTTAGTGAATGTTTGTTTTGTAATGTGTTTTTCAGTTTTTTGATACTTTGATACCCAAGTCCATTTTCCATTAGGATCTGTCTTTCTAAAATTTTCATTTTTAATGTGTCAAATCTGAATCGGCAAGATTTTTTGAATCCTCCAGTTGACAAACCTCTTGAACCTTTTATTGAAAGATGGTATTAGAACAAATTGAAGATTTATCATTTAACTACATAGAATAATTGTTGTTTTCTTGGATAT